CGTTTTATATAACGGATTTTAGTTCTTAAACTCTCCATTTGATTTGTCTGGCTGTCTATCTGTGAGATCTCCCTAAAATTTATAAGAACCAAAGTTAAAACTTAGATTATGATAAAGTATACATAATTTCTTCATGTAACATTATACAGATCCCTTCTGCAACCTATATATATATACAAAAACTTTTCATTCTTAGAAACTTGATACAAAATTTCAACTCTAGAATGGCCGTCTGCATGTCTGATCATTCGTATTATTCTTAATGTTCAAGATTTTTCAAATCTCATCTATAAATTTCCCTGATCCAAGCCAGTCAGACTGATATTGGTGTATGAATCCATAAATTTATTTACATATAGATACATAAAAAAACTTTTAATATTTTTAACAGGAAGTAAATACAAATAGGCTACGCTTAGATGATAAAATAATATTTAAAATACACATATTTTCATTTATATATTTAATTAAACATGTTTAATAAAATGTTTATCTTTGATGTTAAATTTCATAGAGAATCATTAGTAAATTATTAATTATAAATAATATTTTACACTTTTTATAACATTAGAGACATTTCTAGACTTTTTTTAAAGATTAATTTAATGAAAAAATTCTAATTTACTATTATAGTTTTTTTTTTTTTCTTTCTTTCCTTTCTTTCTTGGGAACACTTTCAAACTTTAAAGTAAGCCTTGCTATATTTTAAAACTAACTAAAACTGTCAGAATTATTCACTAAACATATTAATGAAAGAGATTTGAAATATTATATTCATCTGGAATTCCTCTTAAGTTATTAAATACACTTTAAAGCCATTTAAAGCCGCTAAACAAGACTATAAATTACTAGAGAGTAAATTAAATTTCTGCTCTTGTTAAATAAGATACTTTTAAAAGAGATAATTTTCATTTTATCGTTTTGATCAAGATTTCTTTTTAAATTTTTACAATATTATTTAAATATAAATTATAAAAACAAACGATTTTTAAAGGCCTTTTTATATATAGAAGTAGGGCTATAGTAGATCTACCAAGCATAACAAATAGTATTTTAATTGCTTCGTGTACACGATAAACCCGATAAAAATTAAGTGTTAATTATTTTAATAGGATAATATATCCTATAACAATATCAATCTTTCTTCGCATCGATGTCATCCATGCAGACAAATTAATTACCAATCTGGACATATCACATTTAAAATCAATTGTATGGAAAACCGGTTGGCTTATCTTGAACATGTTCGTGTGCCTGACACGTGTTGATCAACAATGTGCATGAGATAAGCTTTCTAACAGCATCCCTCTGCTCAATAGTTTAGATATTTAAGGTATAAATTAATAAAATGTTCACTTATCATAACACTTTTCTACATGTTTTTAAAGCTTCTGGCATTAATATAAATAGGCCTATATATTTTTTTATTATTATTAATAACTAAAATTCTCTTAGGATATTTATAAGTTATATGAGTACATACTGTACGTTAATATCTTCTTCCATCTTGATAAGGAAAGAAAAAAAAAATGCCTAAATAGTAAAGGAATTTACTTTGCTTGATGCAGTAATTCAATTATTTTTCAATTAATATTGCATACAATTCGCTAATGAGAAAATAATGTAGAGTATTACAGAAATTTCAGTTAGTAGAGCGAAAATCAATAGAGTCTAAAGAAGATAGGCCATTTTCTAAGGCTATGTATGCTATTAAGTACAGATTGTGGGCCTGCAAATGTAAACAAGAGTAACACTGATTGATTTGATCCATTATTTTATAAAAGAAAAAAATAAATAAAAGTAAAAAAATAAAAGAACGAAAAAAAATGATGCGGCACATTCGATAACTTATTGAAAGTTTCCTCGAAGTCATACAAGAATGCAAAGTTTAGAAAACTTAATTAAACCTGTACAAAGTTATAAATTTGTGTAATTTGTACTCATAATTTTAATTAAATCATTAATTTGAGAAAGGATAAATTAGTAGATATAGTAAATTGCTTAAGTTACTAATCATTTTAATTCATACTATTACGAATAAATTTTAAAGGATTTATTCTTCGATATATTTTCATAAAAATAAATTTAATTCATTTAAATTTATCTTTATTTTAAATTGATTAAGTAACAAAAAAAAAAAAACTAAATAAAGCAAACCTGTTATATAACGCGAAAAATACATAAAAATCTTTGTGTTTTCATTGTATCTCCTCATAAAAATAAATGGCTTTTTATATAAAAATTTAAAAGTAAACAAAAAAAATTAAATTAAAATAATTTATTTTGATTTAAGTAAATTTTAAATAGTAAAAAATATTAATTTAGTAAAGAGAGATTCATTTCTGAAAAATTAATGCATTAAACTCAGTTTAATATAAGCAACGATTATAGGATTTTTAAATATTAAAAAATTTCCTTATAATTTTTATTTTCTTTTTATGTATTGACCAATCGATACGGGTCAACTTGCGATTCTGTATAGTAAAATATTTATTCTCTTGGCTTATTTATATAGGAGAGTGCACCAAATATCGAATAAAAGGCCTATTTAGAGATATTGAACGTTGGAGAAACATTCATTTCTTTCTTAAAAGAAACCACTTATGAGGCGAACAATTAAGAAATTGGTTGTAGTTTCAGATAAATTGTGCTCCTGTCACTTGAGCAAATCTATATTTATTGAACTACAGATAAACAAACAAACGAATCACGAACTCTTAACGTAGTCTTGCATTATTTTTATCGTATAGTCATTTGTTTGTAATTTGTTAGTTAAAACAGGAATATTTTTAGGGACTAGTAGAATACTTAAAGCCATTTGTTTGGTTAGGTAAGATGTATTTACCATAGATAAGGCCTTAGTTATTTATTTTGTTTATAAAACTTCTATTATTTTTCTAAGAGAACCACTCAAGCGAAATTGCAAGAGAGATGCTATAGTTCGATCTGATCGAGATTTATCGATTTGTTTGAGCTCTTTATCTAATCGAATCCTGTATTCTTTATTGTTGTATGAAGATAAACTTAATCTGAATATTTGCAAAGAATAATTAACATCAATGGAAGCTTTCTCGAAAATTCTCATCTGCTAGAGTAACGTTAACCCATTACATTTAAGCTCATTAGAAGGAACGAACATGGATAAAACTTACTTAAACCAACGAAATCGGATGTTTTAAAAATGAAAAAATTAATATTTAATATCGATTTTATGCTTTAAAATAAAATAAATTTTTTAATTTAACAAAGTAGAATTTTTGTTTTGTTAATTTACTTTAAAAGTATTATTATTTTTTATATAGAACTGATTAAATTTAGTAATAATGGTACGTTAAAATGAACGATGATAATAATAATAAAAGTGCAAAATTAACTGATAAAAATATATTATTTTTCAAGTTAACGTAGCCATAAATTAATACTTGATTTATATGTTATTCTTATTATTAAAATAATTTAATAAATATACTATTTTTATTATTGTTTTTTTTTAAAATAATTTAAGGGTGCTGAAGGCCTGGTAATTTTTTTTTAAACGAGCCTAAATGCCTACATACTCCCTGCCAAGAAAAAAGAATTCCGTTCGCAAATAGGATCTATAATCAGACACATTTGTGGTCAAAAAGCAATTATTTAGCAATAGAACTATTATTTACACCATTTAGTATTACTGGCAGTCATTCGCCATAGGTTTTCTTTGCTTGTAGTAGTAAAAATTAATGCTTTGCGGTGCTTGTTATCTCGCTTCGAATTGGGGTTATAGTCAACACTCAACAAAGACCTCCCAACGACTTTGAAAGCAATAAGACCTAAGGAAAAAATCTAATACAGGATCCAAGTTAGGACAAAGGGGGGAAATTTAATATGGTACAAAACAATTGAAAACAAATAATTTCAACACGAAAAAAAAAAAAATAAATAAATAAAAATTGTATTATTATACGTAACTGTTAAACCTGTGTATAAGAATCAATAACTTTGTAATAGAAATAAACGTTTATTCGGCCCTAAATTTTGATTGCAAACAATTAACTTAAATTGTTCCGCGAAAAATATGTTTCCCGGAATAAATCGCTAGTTTTCGTACCACGTGATAGACCAAAAAAAAAATAGTTATTTTTTCGGGGATAAAAATCATGTTTTTAGTGGGAATCCAGGATTACTTTTTAAAATGTTCCTAGAAGGAATTTTAGTGTTTATTAATTCGGAATTGTGTAATTTGTTTTTAGTCTCTCTTTCTTATTTCTGTATATTTTCTATGAAAGATTAGCTAAAGTTTCCTTCGAAAAAATTTTATCACAATTAACTATTGGACAAGTTTAATATTATTTATTTAAAAAAAACCGTCTTCTATAAGGTAGGCCTCGTGACCTATTTCTGGTCTAACTTAGCACTTTGCTAATTAAAACTTAACACGTTTAAACCCGCAACGTTCAGTCTATAGATCGACTTAAGTTTCTACATTTACAAAACGTGACAAGATTTAATTAAAGATTTATACGTATAATCGTTTAAATGGCAATTTAAAAGTAATTTAGAATAATTTTTTAATAATTTATTTTCAATAAGTCTCCGTGTAATAATAAAGCACGAACAGTAATTAAAATTATGTTTAAAAAATAATAATTTATTTTATTATTATTTTTTTTAACCTAATTAACATCTGTATCTAGAAACTGTGTGTTTCTCTAGATGTATAAGTGTGTAGTATATGTTATGCATTGGTTATTAAATGGAATTAATTATGGGTTTTACTAAAAAAAAATAAATAAATAATAAGAAAAAAAACTTTGAAAAAATCCAAGTTAAACGGCAGGAATGAAGGACAATGCATCTCTAGATAATCCCAAAAATCAATCTCCGATCAACAAACAGTGCTGGGAAAGCTCATAAATAATTTATTCGGGTCTAGAGACATCAGCCAATGAGAAGAGAGGAGGGTGTTACCCATCTGGGTATAGCCACAGTTGCTGACATTATACTCGTGCAGGCTGACGACGCTAGAGTTCCATGAGGACCCAGTCAGGCCTAAGAACAGTGAATAGTGCACATGGCTGTTGTCTGCTTCAACTTAAACCATCTCAGACTTTAAATTGATAAAAGTGGAGCTTGGATAAGGCTCAATATTTTCATTTATAAAAAAGTGCCCAACCATTCTATCAAAATTTCACCCTCAAAGTCAGAAGACAGCGGCAACATGGTAGATATCCAGCCGCAAAGTAAGTATATATATATATATGTTTATTTATTTATTTACGTGTGTATATTATACTACTTAAAATGTTATCTGGATAGAAAGGGGATGGTGTAGAGAGAATTCTTAAAATTAATTTTTCCGTGTTTTTGATTCGTTGTACGTCATCCGTTCTTCCATATCGGAATATTTCGTGATGTGAACAAACACGTGTGTAGAATTAGGGTAGATTATGTAGCTGCTGATTGTTAAGGTTGTAATGATCTAATTAGGAAACTGTTATAGGGTAGGGGTGGAGTGAACAGCTGGTCGAAGACACGCAAACTGTTCAGATGAGTGACTATAGAGAGCTTCGACTAGTATTTCTGATAGTTGATATATAGTATTTACGTCAAAAATAAGCCAAAGTTGGAGTAACGCGTGAGAAAATCCGTTAGAGAAACTTTAGGCCTAACCGAAGAATTACGCCTCATTTAACTGATTAGTGAGTAATTCCTTAAACTAACATTAGAATAACGAAAGGAGTTACTTGTGCTTCGGGTCATACGCACCTGCAAGCCCTGAGGATAGAAAGCGTAAGACTAAAAATAGATTTCTCCTTAAAGTGCCAATATTTATTTTAACGATTTCGACAGGTGGTTAAAGTCCAAAATAACAGAACGGTTAGGATTCTAAAATGAAAGAGATGATGATATTACAATTATTAAAATCCATATTTTTCAATATGTATGTGTTGTTAAAAGGCCGAGAGTTTAGGCCAAAAACTTTCCCACGTTTTACTGAATAGTATGCGATCTTTAAATATCTGTAATAGTATAATGAATCGGCAAAATGCTCGGTATATTATCTATCTAAGGCACATCTGATCTTTATCACAGTTTAAGTGAATACCTACAGCAAACAAACATTAGAGTGTAGCTTTTTTTTCTTTCTCTCTCTCTCTTTCTTCCTTTCTTAAAAGTATTGACGATGGCAAAGTGTAAGCGCATTTACAGTTAGGATGTGTGTAGAAGGTATCTTCAACAAATCTAGTCCTTTGCCGGCTCCTGTCAACAAATATTGTGACAGAGTCACGGCAGATGACAGTAGTAAGGGGTGAAGGGAAGCACGCTATTCCCAGCACGACGTTCTAAGGAACTCCCTACAGGGAGTTCTCGTTATACAATTCCAACCCTTAAACTATCTTATGTCAGCCTAGGCACACATTCTAGTATTATATAAAAAATAAATTTTATATATATATAAACATACAGATAAGTTATTCATCATTTAAACACTCGATAAATATATAACGTGTTTGAAATCGTATGATAAATGACTTTTAGAGAATTTAAATGTAGATTTAACACGTGTATTTAATTTAATTTTATTGTTGTAATATTTTATTCTTTATATTTACAAAAAAGAATCTTATTGTCTAACCGTATGACTGCATAATAGTTAATGAGACGTTGGATATCGCGTGAGATGATCGTTCTTGATCGGATCTACAGTCGTAATAGCAGAGATCACGCGATACAACTTTTATCGATACACTATATAATCGTTAGCATAAAATCTATAAATGGATCTGGAATCAGACATAAGATCTAGAACGAATTCTTCACTATAATAGCTGTATCGATGCTAATTCTTTGTTGTTAGTTCAATGAGGCTGATTACTGTTATGACTAATGTAAAATAATAGGATCCGTATAAAATATTTACAATTAAAAGAAAGCGACGATGTTTAGTTGCGAAACTATTGACATTTCTTATCTTTCTATATAAATCTTTACTTTTTAGATCCACCACTGATAACGTACCGACAAAACTATCAAAGAAATGATAGATTATAAACGCGATATATAGTATATATGTGTGTTATATATCAGTTAAAGAGCAATTCGTTGGAAATAGAAAATATATTTCACTTAAAAAAACTAAAATTATATATAATATCCTATCAAATTATAAGCGCGTTTACGTAAGAATTTGAAGTAAAAAATCCAATAAATTATTTAAATGGGAGGTGTTTGTGTGCGTGTATATATATATATAATTCTTCGATTACTAATTAAAATAAATATAAATCTTATGTTTTAAGTTGTTAAAAATTGTGTTAAAAAGCCGAAGACTTTATTAAAAAGTTATATACATTATCTAAATGAATGTAAACTAATCGATAATATTAATCAACGTAGATTAAAGATCGATTTTATATTTTGAATAGATTTATAACTTTAACAAGCTCTTTATTATCATAAAGTACTTTCAATACATACATCATCAGTTACAGACTGATTTATTTAGGTTGATTTCATTAATTTTATAAACGACATTGCTTCATTATTAAGTTCACTTTACTTTTAAAGCTCTCTAATCAGCGCGTTTTCAAGCTTCATCAATCATTAATTGCGTATTAAGAATAAATAAACTATAGCAAAAGCCTTCGATAATATCATTGAATTCTGTCAATAAATATGGAAAATGGATATTGTATTTTCTATTAATTATTATTAGAATTAATATTATTATTTAATTTTTAAATTTATAAAATAAGAAGTATTAGTCCGAGTTGAACGTTAATGCTTCATGTCTATTGTCACTTTCTTAGTTGATCCGTTGGCTCTAGTTCTATTTGTAAAAATTCCTGGTAGTGATTTTTATTGTTCGAGTCTAGTTTCTTGGTTTTTCTAAAGAAATCTCATATCTACGTTTAGAATTCTGCATGAACATTCCATTTACGGCCGGTTTCATCTGAATAGAGCTGCAACCGTTTAGCCAACAGTATGAAGTTGGTTGATAACATCTATTGGAGCAGCTATTTTTCTACAGATTTTACTACGAAAAGAATACGTAGAAATCTCTAGACGAATCGGATCCACTTTTACAAATCCGAGAAAAATATTTGCATAAATAAAGAAATAAAATTCATACGATAAACACGAGTATGCCTAACAACGGATGCTATGTGTTGATTAAACCTCATCTATGGTTATAAATATCATTTAATTCATCTTTTAATGGTAAAATTTATTTAGGCCTTTTTTAAAATTACTTAATATTCAATAAAATTATATTTTTCTAAGTTAATCTCTGAAACATTTTAGCAAAATTCATAGAGAGTACACGTCTCGAGTGTATCGTTTTAGGAAACTTACCTATCGATATATGGCAAATTTTCTAATTATTTAGCCCTTAATTAAAATATTAAAAGGGTTAATTACGTTGTTAGATGCGGACTAAAATGGGCTTGCGAGCAGACTTTAATATAAACAGATTTTCCATTGATAAGAGTGAAAATTTGAATATATTTTTTTGAAGATATTTTACTGATTTTCTCTTCTAAGATATGCAATGCAAAATCTTTTCTCTTGTCACACTATAAAAAAACACAGTATTAAACCATTACTAAAATTGTAGAACTTAAAATTCTCTGAACGAAAATAGGATCAAGCGAGGCCTAAAGCTTACACATGATCAGAATCTTGGAACATAATTCAAGTAGACTATTAGAAGTACTTATTATAATATTCCAAAAAAAAAAAAATAATACAATTTATATAAATTTTTAAAAATTAGCTAGAATTAATTAATTTTTTTTAAAATTATCGTTACGCAAATGAATTAATTTCTTTTTTTTATTTTCTTGCATGTAGAAAAGCGGCGGGTCTCCATGTGCGTAGGATGTGGATCACAAATCCATGACCAATATATCCTCAGGGTTTCACCTGATTTGGAATGGCATGCGGCATGTCTGAAATGTGCGGATTGTCATCAGTTTTTGGATGAAACTTGTACATGTTTTGTAAGGGACGGTAAAACATATTGCAAGAGGGACTATGTCAGGTGAGTAAACAAAGGCTTCTCTTTGATTAATAATGCAACAGTTGTTTAGAAATTGAAGTTTTATAAAAGTTAGAAACTAAATTTTGAATATATAAAACAAAAAGTTTGATAGTTGGAAAGTTTTTAATGTATAAAAAAAAGTAATAATATTAATAATAATAAACGATCGGATTTAAAAAAAAAAACGGGTTTTAGGATCTAAAACTAGGTGAAAACACGATAATTTTTTAATAAAACAAGTATATTGTTTCTACACGTTTTTTTAAAGGTCATTGTTTATTTTTCTTTATCTAATTAATATTTCTAGGCAGTATCAATCTGCAACTTGAAGAAATCAATATTAACACTCTTACTAGCTTTATCAAGTTACCAAATGTATGAGATTTTTTGCCATGCATTTCTGGTTTTGTTGTTTATATCTTAAGTTGTTCTCTTAAAATGTAATTTATAGAACAGATATTTATCCAATTTTTAAGAACGATTTTTATATTCAGATCAATGTAGATGAGTAACATTAATATGTAGATATACCTATATGAGACTTAATACGGAAAATATAGAAGTAATTGCTATATCGATACGACATTAATGTCTAAATCTATAATTATCAAAATGGCTTAAGCAAATTTTTAAATCGAATTTTTCAAATCTAATTTCGATCGCTTTTATAAATATGATCGTTTTTCTTTCTTAATATCTGACTATATGCAAGTAATTGTAAAGTCCTTTGTCACCATTTGACAGGACCTTTTAGACAAATGAGATAATGATCTAAAGACCGTTTTAAAATTCTTAACCGGATATGTTTATCATGGATATTTTGCTTCGGGTTATAACCCACTCCTGTGTGTGTCTTGTGCCATACGCATTCATTGACATTTTGTATAGAGTAGAGTTTATTATCGAGAAAAAAAAAATATATATATATGATGATTCGTTTAAACATTTTCTAAACGAAAAATAAATAAATAAATAAGTGTTGATTCACGATTAAGACTTAACAGAGAGGTTTTTGTCTTTTTTTTTTTCACGTGAAAATCTGTCTAATGTTTTTTTAAGATTTGATAAACGGAATTAAATCTAGTAAGAAATCTATTTATTTTTTCTAGAATTTGTTTCAATATTGTTATTTTCTAGAATGAAATAGATCATTTCAGTGAAAGTGATTAGTTTTTAGAACGAAATGTTGTTTTGTAAGAAATAGTTCAGTTTCTGCAAGGAAATATAATCAATTACTGTAATGATATTTACATTTTAAATCAGTACCTTGTATGAAATCTATGAAATGATTAATTTCTAGAATGAAATATACACTAAGCAATTCTAGAATGATTAATTTCTAGAATAGAGAAATAACGATTAGTTTTAGCTACTAACTATTGATAGTTTAATACCGAAATGCATTTTTTTTTAATTTTGAAATATGAATAAAGAGAATTTACATTAAAAGGGCTTTAATGGTAGGATATGAAGTGTAGATTATAAAGTTTTAATCGAATTCTACTGACAGGGCGCATATAATTGGAGACAATGTAGAGTGTAGTTATGCAGATATACTGTATATAAGGAGACAATACGAGTCCAATTTGATGTACAGTTCACTATCCGTGTCAGAATGGATAGTGAAGGTATTCCAATCGTCATCAACAAACTAAATTGGATCTTTGCAGAACAGAGAAATTGTGAACGCGATTACGTTGCTGGGAAGATAATCTCGTCACCAACTGACATACACGTCAACTGAAGCTACGAATACTGATAGAGATTTAAGTTTAACTTGAAGATATGAGTTTGCCTTGAAGCTGAATTGAAGAGACGTGTCAGTGGATAAGTGTCATGTTTTTAGCTTTATGTTAACCCCAGGCACAGCTAATACTTTGACCAGAGAAGCTTTAAGGCAATGACTGACACTTCTTATTGTTTTACTTGTATTGTCTTCCATATAAGGTCGTTTACAATAGCTAGAGATTTTTATCGAATTTGATTTTGCTTAGTGATGAACCTTCTCGTAGAATGAATTGCACAGAAGTATATATATATAAATAAACAAAATTCAAGCAATTGTTAAATAATTTAAGTGTAACTAAGAATAATTATTGCTTAAAATTATATTCAGTCGAAGGTGTTGAAGTGACCACTAATTTTAAAAATTTCGACTAATCCGTTAACTACTAAAGACGTGTTAAAGGTGTAAAAGATAACAAGTTTATGAAAGTCGTCAAAATGTCCTTGACATCTTTTTAGTTTCTACTAATCTTCGTTAAAATAAACCTGTTTAGAGGCCTGTAGACTTATATACAGCATGGGTGAAGTTTTGTTTCTAAATACCTTTATTCTATAAAATTTTAAAATTTCTATTATAATTAAATATTAATTTATGAAGAGATTAAGTATTTAAATTTATTTATTAATATCATCAAAATGTATATGTTTTTATATGAATCTGATCTCTATAATTTAATTTATTTATTAAAAAAGAATTATTTTTTTATTTCAAAATTTAGATAATATATATTATTTAACATTTAAAAAAATATATTTTTTAAATTTTTATTAAAAATTTCCTCCTACTTTAAGTGAATTTTTAATTATTTAAAACAATGCATATGTATAGAATTTTTGAATTTATTTTTTAAAGGTTGAAAAATAAATTTTTGTACAGACGAGGCATTAAATTTTTCATTTAAATTTATCTTTTAATTTAATCTGTATAATAATTTACGCAGAATATAAAACAAAATAAGATATTTTAACAAATACTTTCATATTTGAATAATAAAATTGCAGGCTGCAGTTTGTTTCAAATATGTTGTATTTATTAAGCTGCATTTTATTGTTTATTATTGTTCATATTTATCATAAATTCCTACTTGAAAGCATATTTTTTTTATTATTTATTATTATTAAAATCTAGTTTATTTGCTATTTTTTTATTATAAACAAAAAAAATGTTTTCAGTTTGATTTATCTTATTAAACAATAACATTGAGAATAATTTTTTTTTTACTGTAAAATATTTTTAGAGATATGATTTATATAGTGTATACTATAAATATCAACATGAGTTTCTCAAGAATTTCTTCTGTTAGGTAATTTTCGAAATATTGCAACATTACTCTAGGATAATATTCCCCCTAACAGATAGAGAAAATTATATAAATTGCAGAAGTAGACCCGATAGCTTATTCAAAAATTCTTATCGTCTACTTTTAAGTTCTGTAAGAATTTGGTTAAAACATCTTAAATATTTTAAATAATTTCTTTAGATATTTTTAAGTTATGATCTCCATTAACTTACATACGATGAAGGGTCTTTCTAGTGAGAAAACTACTTTTAAAGCACTTCAATTGCAAAAAAACAAAGACAAGAATTATTCTTTGTTCCATTCAATCAGCGAAGTTTCAATATAACAAGTTTATGAAGTTGTATATTATAAAAAAGAAACTAAGCCAAACATCTTTAAATGTGTGCAGTAGGCCATGTAACTCGTACAGAATTTATATTTGTGTTGTGATGTTTCTGTTTTAAAAAAATGTAAATAAAAATGACAGCAAAAACTTTTTAGAATTAATGAATATTATACTAAATTTCCGCCAGGATAAGCTTGAAAATATAAGTTAAAATGCGCTTTCATCATCATTCAAATTAAACTTATGCATCCTTTAACAGAGCGGAACGTTTTAAAAAAATCTTTTTAATTTTTCAAAGTCATTCTGACGTTTTTAAACAGTAGGGGAAAAAAAAGGCTCATAAGCCATAAGTGACAAACAAGATTAGGCTGCCAACAAACGTCTAAATCTCTATAGAAAGCTAACTTATCCCTCATCTATTAAGAAAACCGCATAAACCTTCGCCGCGTGTCAAGGGTGCGGAAAAAATACTTTCCATCCCATAATGAAAGCGTCCAATGATGTCGAGATGGGACCGGCCAATGACAAGTAGTAGTTGTCAGATAATAGATTGTTTCAACCACTGACGTCATTCTGACAAGAGTTAAATGACTTTAAACTTGATCTGTTACCCGCAGTGGTAACACAACAGAAACAGTTGTAACTCTACAGTTAGTAATTAATCACACAGACAATTTGGGTCATCTTCCTTCTACACTTCCATTACTTTCTTTTATTAACTTGGTCAAGGTAAATACATTATAAAGACGTAAGCTATGAGTTATCAAAACCGTTCAATTTTTTCCTCTCTAAGTGGCCTGTAGATTCTCTTCCACGCGCTTAAAAATATATAAAATGAAGACAGTTTTATGCGTGAGCATCCATTTTTTCCCCCTCCTCTTTTTTCTTAATTTTATATATATAAACGGAGTAAATTTTCTTATCAAAATTAACAGTTAATTGAGGAACAGTTTCCGATCTCACAACACTGTGGAATTTTTATAAAAACTAGAACTGCCTTAAGGTGTTGTATTAAGATATTTACATAGTACGTTATATGTCTTACTTTTTAATGAGATTGAGTTAAATTACACTTAATCTCGGTCTTTCAAGAGATCATTCATTGTTATTTATAGACAGCCTTTTCTGTGATGCTTTAGAAAATAAGAATTTTCAAGAATGAAACTTAAGTATAAACTTAATTCTTAAAGCTTAATTGACATATTATTTTAAACTTCAACATGCCAATTTTCGCATCTTTGTTCGAATTTAAGCGACGTTTTTTTTTCTTTCTTAGTTTTTGCCGTCAACATGCATCTGAATTAGGATTTTTACTTATATACAAGATTATCAATTTGTTATGGTGAAAAATTTACTAAAATTAAAGAGAAATAGTTTGATATTAAAGAGAATGAAGCGAGACAGCTTGAATGGAGAACTGAAAAGGATAAAAAGCTTTTTACTAATAATAATTTTTGAAATATCAACACAACATTCAATTTGTGAGTAGAAAACAAACCAAAATCGTCATCAATGCGGTTCTTTTCATTATATTTATCCAAACATTGCCGAATACGGAAGTCTAAATTGGTCCCGCCTAGATATATGATATAAGTCCTCATGTGACCGACCATGCGGAAGCCAACATCGAGCAGATTGGCACAGAGCTAATTTCTTGATTGGATGAATTCACATAATGACATCAGAGAGGGATAGGCCTTCTCCCTCCACTATCATTTGATAGTTGCCTCTTCTGCACAGCTATAATAGAGGGGTAGATGTTTGCTTGTCAGTGGTGGAGCTGTTAAACAAACTGTTGAATAATTCAACTGGCTTGGCCGCTTGCCGATTCTGATGTGATTTCGTCGGTTGTCTGTTTGCTGTCATGACTTCATACACAAGGCATACCTGGCACCCTACACCATTTTACTGTCGAGTTATGCCTATACATAAACTTTCTCTTCTCGCATCTTTCCTGTTGTTGACATCATAAAAATACTTTCGTCACAGCCTACAAAACTTTCTAACACACTTTTCTCGAATCCAGATGGTTATGCACACCACTTAAACGTTTCAAAATTGAAAAAACTCCTTTTTTTAGTAGAGGCGAATCCCTCCGAATCACTCTTAGTATAGCATCGCTCTATCTATCCAGTTCCAAACCGATAAATAACTATTATGTCACACTAGGACGCGTGTATATAATTTAATATAGGGGTTAGGTCTACTTTAAAGGTTTCATAAGTAAATCAGTACTTACCAAACTCTAAAGCATCACAGCGTTCGGCTGTCTTTACCTATAACCGGTAGGACATGGTAATAAAAGTCAAGACTCCACCCAACTTATCAGGTAGGCCTACATATTTATCATCTTTCTCAGTTAACAAAATTTATGAAAGAAAAAAATTACAGACTAAGCTTAACTTTTTTCCCCCCGATTTAAGTTCCTGAAAATACAGGAAATAATTTTCTCTAATGCTTTTATCCCAATGAATAAAGATTGCCTTCGAATATATCTGGATAAAATCGTCATTCATAACAATAATTTATATACCGTTATGTATAGAGAATGTCTATCTCTCTGTGTATAGATATTTTTATAGTAGAGAGAGGGGAGAAACATTAGAAGAATTTGTTGAATGCGCCCTTCAAATCCCCCTTTGCATCATTAAAAGAAATCAAGAAGAACTTGTTTTAAACTCAGATAACAAGACGATAAGATTTAAATTATAACTCGGTTCTAATTTGCTAGGTCTGAAAGCTCCGATAAGTTCTCATTTTTTAAAAATAAAGACGGATTTATTTATTGTTGATTACTCTAGTTTAAATAAGAAATAAATAAATCAAGAATAATAAGAATTTACTTTAAAATATTTTTCTTTTTATTTAGGTTATTTGGAGCGAAGTGTGCCAAGTGTAATCAAGGGTTTAGCAAGACTGATTTTGTGATGAGAGCTAGAAACAAGATCTATCACATCGACTGTTTTCGTTGTGAAACATGTGCTAGACCTTTAATACCCGGTGATGAATTTGCTTTGAGAGAAGATGGACTCTTTTGCAAGGCTGATAACGAAGTTGTGGAAAAACCTCACATCACTTCGAACGGTACAGGTGCTGCTAATGGAACCAATATGTCCGGTGGTGCAAGTGGCAATACAGGTCTTCAGATGGCGGGTAAGGTTGACAATCTGAAGCGGAAGAGAAAAGTAAGCTGCGTTAGAAGTAAGGGACTGAACTTTAGACAATATCTACAACATATAGTTGTTTTTATGATTGATTTACTTTCGAAAAAAACGTTGCGTACTTTTCTTGATAGCTTTATTGTGCTATATCATAAATGTAGGTTATAGAAACTATCTTTATATAACGTTTTGTTTAGAGAAGTCTCCTTCTAATAATATCTATATATAAGTTATTAAATCATAAGATTTAATAAGGTAAATTGTTGTTTCGCTTATATTTCGATAAATCTTTTTATTATATATAATCTAGTAACTTAAAATAAATGTTATTTGTTAGGAATAATGTTTTATCTGAAGGCCTATTGTTAATTTTGCTCTTTAGGCTTTATTTTTTAAATAATTAATCATTAAAATTACATTGATGAATTATGTTAATGGTTAAAATTAATTATATTATGGTCAAATTCAAACTTTTATGCAAAATTTAATTAAAGTACGTTATTCGTACATAGTTACAGCTTTTAGAAAGTATGTAACATGCATTGAAATGGAGCTTAGCGTTGCCGATTTTTCTAACTTTGCATCAAAAATTGGAACCGATTTTAAGTCGAATAAGTAATACAATTAAACAATTTAAACTAAAATATCTAAAATTTCATTTAAATAAATCTAAAATACGTTATATTAAAATTAAATTTTCAGAATTCAGGTACTTAGATAATGCATCATTGCGCTTCTCTGCACTTTCTCTAAACTGAAATAAATTAAATTTCGGATTATATTGTGAGCAGAACCGACGAAATAATGTAAATTAGATCTATTTATTTGCTAAAATAATCGAGAATAAATTTTATATAAAAGTAAAAATTGGGAATTTAGAATAACGTCTAATGCTCGAAGAAATGATGATCATATCACTATTTTTTTTTTTGTAAATAAGTCAAAATCTAATGATAGTAAGGTCTAAATTAATAAATAAGTTCATATGTTAAACTCTTTAGAGTTTAATTCACGCATTTCTAAACAAAGTTTTTTATTAAGATAAAATTTAAGAATGTCGAGTTATAAAGGCTTTAAGAATAAATTTAAAATGATCTTTCTACACACAACTTCATGCAAAAATCTAATGATATAACTACAAATTATTTCTATAAATTCATTACAACATAAACTAAGTTTTAATGAAATTTAATTTAAGAAAGGAATCACTCCTTCTCACCTTTTGTTCTATTTTCTAAGACAGCGTAAATTTGGTAGAACAAATACTACAAAAGTAATTTAATAAAACTTTATACTGGAAGGAATAACACATTTAAAAAAACCTTGAACAGTACTTTATACATTAAAAAAAAAGAAGGAAGTTAGAGAGAGAAAAGGCAAAAGAGAGAGAATAGAAATCGGTAATTCCCAACATTATGCGTTAAAAAATCTAACAGATTGCCACGTTCGATTCGCTATATTAGTCTACATTTTATTGTAATTGTTTCGACGAGACTTCCTAACATTATGTATGGCATATGGATAGTGGTAATCCAATTTTAGTTACATTTATGTCATTTGTAGTGGAAAAGAAACAAATGCCAATTGCTGTTTATCATCTAGTTCTAAAGGAAATGTAAGAATTCATGACTAAACAGGGGTTGAATGTTAGTGGCTTGACAGTTTTACTCTCTCACGTATATTCTTTGAATCTGATTTGCCAGACGGTAGATATTGCGAGCCGCATATTCTCCAAGTCTTTGCAGATGGAAAACTACACCGATAAATATTTGATATACTACAGAATTGCATCCGAAGCTAGTTTTAATATATATATACATATAGGTATATATTCTTGTTTTTTAATATATATATATATATATATATACATAATNTTGATTTTCTTTTCAGACAACTTAAATGTAAAGGCATAAATAAAATATATATGTAACAGATATATATATACATACATATTATACTCGTATATGGATAAAAGTTACGCTTTATTCAAGAGTAATTTTACAAGAAGAATAGTTTCTAAATTTGTTTTCTAAATTTACATGTCACTTCTGATATTTTCTAGTTTAAAAATTTTAACCTAAGATATATAGCCTATATATAGTCTAGACTATTCAAAGTAAGCTATTGTTGACGTTTTCTCTTTTTTTTATTCGTATTTAAATATGAAAAGTTTGTGGTTTTTCCATAAATTTAATTAGAATTTAATGAGAAATTCGATTTTAATGAACTTAATTCTTCTTTTCTTTAATATTTTAATCTCTGATTTTATTAAACTTTTTTGGAAAATTTAAACAAGGATTAATGCTTTGAAAATCTGTTTTTTTTTTTTTTTTAATAAAATATTTTTTGGGGCCTTCTAAATATTATTATTACTATCTTTTTAATTTTTGGTGCAAGATTTAAGTGAAACGAACTGATCTATATTATGACACCTTTCTTTTCTGGTGCAGGATTTAACGTTCGGCAACGTCTATAACTAAGAATAAGTCTGATTTATTGCAGAGAATTTAATTACTGTCCTGAAGTCTAATGTTAGCTAATGTTTTTCTTTTTCTTTTTTTTTTTTTTCTTCATCTTTAATTATAAGGAGAAGACTATATAGAGCTACGTCATAAATTTCTGTTTAAATCGGATATTAAATCATAATTCATTTAATATTCTCGAATTTTAGCAACTATTAAAAATATCCTAAATATAGAAAAGAAATAAATCAAGACAAGTTTCAAATCATTAAGAAAATTAAAATGTGTATAGACGAAATTCAAGTTTATCTTTATTATTATTATTATTATTATTATTATTATTATTTTTACCTATAAATTTACTATTCAATTAGAATTAACTTACTTTTGTCTTTTTTTTTTATCGATAATTTAAGTTTATTTCGTATATATAGGATATGTTATTCTAAGCAAAAATCGATAAGAAGCATAAATTATAAGATATTGCCAAGTTTTGTTTACCAACCTTTACCATCGATTGGGTTTTCGTGTCGTGTGTCCATTTTTAAAACAAGGCTGTTGCATTCTTCTCTGTGAAAACTACAGTGAAGAAGTGAAGACTACTGCAAAATATTAAAAAAATACATAAAATTGATATTAAACTATCCGTGATGAACAGTTTTGTAAAAATCTTAATTCAACACCTTCGTGAATCTTAAAAACAAGCATTAAAAAGAAAAAAAAAATTCGTAAAATTTAAAAATTTTATTCTAACAATTTCTAATATATATAATTTTTTAATTAATTTATCCGATTTTCTAACTGTCTTCTGTTTTAAAATATTGTGAAATGCAAACATGAAACATGCAACATTTACGTAACTACAACGAACTCGAAAGATAACAAAATATAAGGAAAGGAAAAAAAAAAATAAGACTTGGAATTTGATATGTCTGAATGCAATATTGATGTAAAGTTTGTATATTCTTTATTTATAGTATAGAATAGAGATTTTTATGAATGGGAATCCTAGATGGAAAGTAAGAGGTGCAAGTTTGGAATTTCGACTTGACTCTGAAAAAGAATATGGCTGAGGAGTCAGCATTTCAAAAAATTTTGCAAGCAATACTTGTCTAGGAGTGTTTCTACAACAATTCCAATTTTTTTTTTTTAATATCTAACTATCGTTCCATTAATTATTTCACAAAATACAAAAAAAAACAATAAATAAATAAAAGAATAATCTGCATATTTAATAAACACATCGTACAATGTTTCCTTTCTGCATCTTATTATTAATTTTTTTTTTTAAATTCGATTTTTAATCTCTAAGGACTTTCGAGACCATATTTTTTAATAAGAAAATTAATCTAGGGTGATTTAAAATTAATTTCTAATTCATTAAACTAGAATTAAAGTTAGAAAATAGGATTACCTTTCATAATAAGTGAGATGATGATGATGATGATTATAAAAAAAAAAGAGGAGGGAGAGAAAGAGAAACATAATTACTTTTCTAGATCATTAAACTCCATACATTGACATTTAAATAAAATTACAAATTAATAAGGTTTACAGATATAAATAAAATTTACTGTAAATCATAGTAATTAATTTTTTTATACTTACGTAACAATCATTCAATAATGTATCGTTTCATAAGAATTTCTCACTGTCAGCTAATCTAGCGAGAGAAGTACTTTAAGAACTATTATTATGAGCCAAACACATGACCACAAGTATAATTTGTGCAAAGATATTATAAATGAGAAGACAGAGATGAAAAATGAATCTCGTTTAACACTCGAGTATCTACTTAACAGATTTTTTTCCGAGGTTAATAGTTTGAGGGTTTGTTGTCTGATGGGGGAGAAAGGGATGATGAATTCATTCTTTGTTGTTTAGAAGTGGCTGAGGGAGAAAAGTAGCCTCACATTTTAGGCTCTTTATAGTAATATATATAAGACTCTACTTTTATTAACAAATATTTTTTAAGAAATTTGTCGATTTTTATAAAGGTTTAGTAGAGAAAATTTCGTTTGTGCTACTCATAGAGACATCCATCTATCAAGGTTCTATCGTGGGAATAGCGAATAATAGATCGGTTCTGGTGGATACTTGGCATACTGTTGTCATTGGATGCACTTCATGCCTAGCCAGACGCCGTTCTTCTTGGCTTGAAAAGCTCGGCAATTAAAATGCTTGGCGTGAAAGGCGGAGCGAATGAAGTGGGAGGTTGAATCGTTGGTCCGCCTGGTGCTTTTCTCACATCCAACCGCATGAGTCACCTGCAAGCTGTCTTCTCTGAATAGAACTTCGGATACAACACTTTGATTGTGCCTTAGCAGCCGAGAGAATCTAGTCAGGCGGCCTAGAAATGGGATTGCATCTTCATCAAATTTGTTATATAAATATATTGAGCGAGCGAAATATTTGCTTTCTATCCGTTCGAAAGAAAAGGAAATAAAATAGATTTCTATTTTATAAATGTGGCCTACAGGTATCTTTGCCGAAACATTCAAAATTCGTTATCAATTTAATTTTGAAAGCACAATAAGAATAATAGTCTTATTTACCTTATGATAAAGTTGATAGTTTGTATATTTTTTTCATTTCTTAGTAAACATAAGAAAGTTGATATAATTATATGGCCTAAATTCCTCTCATATTTACCTCGTCTTTCAAACTTCGAATTATAATTAGACAGGCCACTTTTATAAAATAAAACTATAAAACTTGCACAAGATGCTTCTATCAGTTTGTTTCCTCATCCGTATCATCACCTTCTATCACTAAAATCATCGGTTAAATTGTTCGATATTTTTCTAAATATTGGATTTTTTAATGAATTTATTCATATATAAAAGCATTAAATATTTATTCTACTTTATAAACATATTATAATTTTAGTTATATATATATTTTTTTCCTTCTTCTTCCACGTTGAACAGAGGAGGACGGCCATGTTAGGCCTAGGCTCTTTAGTTATTTACACACCTGAAAGTTTCACACGGCTAAAGCTTCGGAAATTTGATCCTAACAGAAAAGTTTGCCATCCTAGTTAATTAAAGTCGACAGGACAATCTGCAGGCGAGTCCCCCTGAATGTCAACAAGGAAGGGAGATGCACTCTATCCCCCTCCTGAAATGCAAACGAGTTCACTTTTTAAAAACTTTGCTATTTATCAATTGATAGAAGATACAATATAATCAAAATATTTTACAGATTTTTGCAATTATAATTCTTTTTCTTTTCGTTCAAAATATATTTATATATTCTCAAAAAAAAAAAAGAAAAGAAAAAGTCACTTATAAAATATGTGTTGCATGTAGAGAATAATCGTATTTTTATATATTCGCCAATTATATAATGCTTGGTATTATATAAAATAACGACTTTAAATTAGCTATGCGCATCTACTTTAGACTCTGTTTGTCAATTGATCATTAAAAGTACATTGCTGAGAATTCCGGATATCCATCAGTGTTGATGAGATCTAGCAAATAACAGTAATTTTATCAGGCAAATATAAAGTCAGAAAATTTTTTACAACCTCCGTTCTGCCCATGATCAATAAACATAATAGCACACATCTTATTCACGTCATCCATCGCAGATGCGAAATTTTATGAAAAGTGCTTTCTACAACCAAAGCTGTTGACACTAGCAGGGAATGAATAGCAATATTTATTGCTGGGAGAGGTATATTGCCAATAATCTTAGAATCTTCAAAGTATAAACTACAGTTTTTTTGTGGTATAAAGTAGTTAATCGTTCTGTTGGAATAATTTTTTTTCTGCTCCTTCCCTTAGTTTCAGATACTTATAAGAGCAATATAATTCCCACCGTTTCGGGCATTGTTTAAGAATAAAATCATTCTTTCAAGCGCAAACTAAGAAATGAAGGCGTTATATTTTAGGGATATTTATAGATAGATAATATAATAATTTAAATTTTTAAATAGTAAATTTCAAGAAATTTATATATATATTTTGTTTTGTTTATGTATAGCAAATGCCGAGCCAATGCAGAACAATAGGAATCGGGATTCGGTACGTCCCCAAGTTCATAAACAAAATTCAGAGCACAAACCTACACGGGTCCGAACGGTGCTGAATGAAAAGCAATTGCACACATTACGCACTTGTTATGCTGCAAATCCTCGTCCGGATGCGTTGATGAAAGAACAATTGGTAGAAATGACTGGACTGTCTCCTAGAGTAATACGTGTTTGGTTTCAAAATAAAAGGTGCAAAGATAAAAAGAAGAGTATTATGCTAAAACAGATGCAACAGCAAGAGAAGGTAAGTTTATTATTATAATAATAATTATTATTATATTATTATTTATTCAATTTTTAAATCGTACTTAAGAAAAGGTAAGGAGTTAATTCGCGTATATTCTGTTTTTCTTAAGGAGGAAAAAAACAACAAATTTAAAAAGTTTGTTGAGTGCTTTTTCTTTATAAAGAAGCAAACAGCTTCGTTACATCAGCTTAATCCTAGAATGGCATTTACTAGATTGCTTAGGAATCAGCTTCCCCATTAGCACTTTCTAATTATCGAATGAAATCCATTTTGGGACTGTGGCTTATATTTTGTAGATTTTCGAGATTTATTCAACTTTTCTTACAGTTTTAAGTTCTTAACAAGCACTAGGGTGTGGTCAAATGTATTTACTATCCTTACTCGAAATCCTTTAAAGATAACAATTTTTTTTTCTATTTTTTTTTTTATCTTATTCGTGTCTGGCAAGATCCATTGCTTGGCCGTTTCGCTAATTTACTCACATGTTGTACCGAAAATGTTAACAACTCATTTCCAGTAACAACGTACGCAGCAATTAGAGGATTTTGTGTGGAGACTTTTAATGAGAACGAAGGGAAATTTTGGACAAACTTGATTTAATAATGCAAATTTAATCAGCCGTGATAGTGACCATAATTACTCATTTTCGATAATGAAAAATTGATTTAAAAATATATTATTAATGTATTTAAAAAAAACAAAATTGTATACGTATCAATTCTCTAGATATATATAGAAATAAATATCAAAAGTGACTTATATTAAATATTTCCGTCTGTTGCGACTTATTTAAATTTCAAACATAAAAAATTCATTGTATTCAAAATAATGGAAGCCACAAGAAATTGGTAAGATTAAACTAACCTCTTGCGGCAGATGTCACATTCGCGTGACTGCTGTAATGTAGAATACCATGGGGTTTCTAAACGCCCTCTTTCTACCCCCCAAAACATTTTAGGTCTGGGGAAAGTAAATTTGTGTCTCGTCCTAACGTAACTCAGAAGCAGGACAGTGTAGGGGATGAACAAAGTGTCCCTGAGGTTGGATGGTAATCCTTCTCTTAACTCCCCTGCGGATGAAGCCCGTTAATCATGACTTCAGTATGACGCTGTGTGGGACACATAATTTTTCCGTGGCTAGACAGCTAGCACGCAGTGCCGTGTCCAATCCCCTCCCATGAGAGGCATTACCCCCTCATTACTCATCATCATCTTCCCTTATTACTTTATTAATTTTTGAAAACGCATGCGTGTTTTACATCACTTCTCTCTGGAAGATGGAGTAAAGCAGTGATAGTTTTTTTTTCCCATCCCTCCCTTTACTTGTCTGTTGGTTGGCCTACCTGTATGTGTGTAAGTGTGTGTGTGTGTGTGTGTGTGTGCGCGTAGGCAGACTCCTTAGATTCTGTCGATTGTTTAACACCACAAATTCAATTAACTGATTATCAACCGAATTAGGAATAAAATATGATGAGCTTAATAGATAATGATCATTTTTTTCTGTAATTATATTCCTTAAAAAATTGATAAGATTAACACAAAATTAAGAAAAATACGCAACAAAATTCCTATACTTTCCGTGCTTATTTTTAGATTTAAAACATTTCTTTTTTTGTTTTTATCCAAATAGGAGATATTTAATTATATTTTAATCTAATTTTATTCCTAAACATTATACTTGCGGGTATGTTTTTTTTATGTTTTTTCTTCTTTTTTTCTGCGTAGTGAATCATCAATAATTCACAAACGTATGAAGAAAAGTTGCATTATTTCACTTAGCTATTAACTTAGACTTTCGCAAGGAATAAATTAAACTTTTAAATTTAAATGAAAATGTCACTAAATTTAAAACTGCTTTAATAACGAAATTAAATTTAATAGTGTTAAATTTATTAAATTAAAGTCTGAAGTCTAAACAACATTTTTTAATATATAATGAACGTGGCTTAGAGAATCCTATTATTACGTATAATTTTCTTAATTTGTGATAATATTTAAAGGAAAAAAAATTAAAATAAAGAGTTTAAGTTACATTTCTAGGCTAATTTTACAGCTTATTATTAAATAAATAAGCTTAATTATCTTTTGTAGTACTCAATATGCGTGTTACGAGGATCTCTTAGTACAAGTGCTTAAAGAAGCCATTTAACATTATAGAATCTTTCACTGATTTAATTTTAAAGGTATACATTCAAAATTATAAATTCTACAATGTATACATTCTCTAGAAGCAAGTAATATATCTACTAACATGGCTGCTTCTATTCGTTGTAACAAAATAAGCCAGAAATTTGATCGTTTCCTTAACACTTTGTGTAGATCTATAACCTTCGATATACTTTTATAAGTATAAATAATTATAAATGTTATAACAGACTTGCATCTAAAAGCCTGCTACATGGTCTTGAATATATTAACGAGGTAATTTATTTATTAAAAGAACAATAATATATTCTTCTGATAGGCCTAAAAGACCGAAACGAGCTAAGGTATAGATATTAAATTTAAAAATTGTAATTACAAATTGACCTGAAGTTTTTCTTGGAATTTCAAAGTTTGTATTGTGTAATTTAGAACTTTGGGTGTAGGTAATTTAAAAATTGGGGTAATATTTTAATAAGAAGAAAAGAAAAAAAAATATTTTCTAGTTTGACATATCATTAAGTTAAGTGTAGAATATACTCTTTGAAAACTATAGGAATGAACTTTAAATTTAGAAGAATTGTTGAAATATTTAAGTATGTTATCTTTTAAAGTTCTTACTGGAGGACCAATCTTGCTGATTGGTTAAATGATTTAATATTTAAAAGATTTGAAAAAAAAATCGTAAATAAATTTTTAATCATTATAGTAGAAGTTGGTGTATAAAATTTACTTTAAGTCTTTCTACTAATTTTTTAATTTTTCGAAAATGTTACCTCAAAGAGAAGGATATTTGCTTTGATAAATTTAGTAAAAAAGTAATTAGAAATTTAAAATAATAATAATAATAACTTTTAGTAGCGTTAAAAGGGATTATTAATGAATGTAAACTTTATATTTGAAGCGGAAAATTAATTAGTTATAATTTGCAGTCAATTTATTAAGTTATAAACAATTGGGATAGCAATATGTGGCCGTCAGTAGAAGAAAAAAACAGAAAACAAATAGTCTTACACATCATTAACTACATCACCCAGTCCATCATTTGAGAAGACAGTGGACAAACCATGGCACAGATTACATCTACTAGAATGTAGGCAGGAAGCAATGGCAGAATGTATGGTGTGTGAGAAAGAGGCATTATACGGCTCAGCGACCGCCTATACGAAAACTGGTCCTCCTGGTCTGTCAGTAGATTTGATCACTTATCTGGAAGGTACCACGTGCTGGAATTGCTTCATCTCACGTTGTGTGCAAGTGAAGCCGGATCTGCAAAGATCCGACACTAGATAACAGTTAACTTGCTCTGTTCTGCCTTTCTATTCTTACTGATAGCAAACCGAACCATCTGTTACTGAGGTCGGTAGTACTCTTTGGATAGTTTGTTCAGCTAACATTGCTTTATGTGATTGTGTAAACTTATGGATTATGTTAGACCAGATTGTTTTTGATGAATTCTCTCCATAGGAAATGGTGATGAATGCTTATATTCGTCGAAGCGATTCAGATCACCGAACAAAACAACGATGGTCACCATCTGCTGCAGTAATTAAAATCAATCTCGCGTATGGCTTGTACATAAAAAAAAAGTACATCACAGATTACTCCATAAAAAAAATATATATATACAGATTATATATAAAAATATAAAATTTGCACCTGTAACATCAACTAAAATGCTCACTGTTAATTATCCTTTGCACAGAATTGCAAATTAATGCAGTTACAAAATGCTTAATCGCCTTTCACTCGTTTAAAACCAAGTTTTTAAAGTATCAGCCTCTCTTATGGGTGGTGATAAAGATACTTTATATATTAAAGGGTACACAAATGCTAGTCATAAAAATCTCGTTGTGTAATACGAATTAAGGTTCTAGTTTAAGGAATAAAAATAAAAAAAAATTATTTATTATATATATAATAAATCATTAACCGGTTTGGTAATCTATTGATGGATTTCTAGAGCCATAAAATTGGTTTAGTTTTAAATAACTTCCTGAAAAATTTGTAATTGAAAAGAGATTATAAGGGGATTCCCCGTTTTGTTAGATAAACATTTCAACTAAAATATTTATTTTTAATTGTTATTTTTTCTTTTAATGGAAGGTTTGAAGTAGTTAAGGCCTAACCCTTCGTAGATCCAACGATGGAAATATATTTATTTCTTCTTCTTAAAATGGAATAACTTTAGTTTAAACACGATCCATTTTGTCATTAAAGGGTTAAATAATTAAAAATGTTAAGTCTCGTCCTAACGTAACTCAGAAGCAGGACAGTGTAGGGGATGAACAAAGTGTCCCTGAGGTTGGATGGTAATCCTTCTCTTAACTCCCCTGCGGATGAAGCCCGTTAATCATGACTTCAGTATGACGCTGTGTGGGACACATAATTTTTCCGTGGCTAGACAGCTAGCACGCAGTGCCGTGTCCAATCCCCTCCCATGAGAGGCATTACCCCCTCATTACTCATCATCATCTTCCCTTATTACTTTATTAATTTTTGAAAACGCATGCGTGTTTTACATCACTTCTCTCTGGAAGATGGAGTAAAGCAGTGATAGTTTTTTTTTCCCATCCCTCCCTTTACTTGTCTGTTGGTTGGCCTACCTGTATGTGTGTAAGTGTGTGTGTGTGTGTGTGTGTGTGCGCGTAGGCAGACTCCTTAGNCATTTGAAATCGAATAATAATGTATAAAACATGTTCTATTTTCTCGTTAATTCATTAAATATTTATAAAAATTAGCATGTAAAGTCTAAATTTCATGTTTTTTTACGAAATAATTATGAAAATAAATCGGAATTAAAACAAATTTTATATATATATATATAAATGAAATTTTCATATTTGAATTAAAGTCAATAATATGGAATATTTCCTATAATAATTATCAAGATATTAATTTTAATTAATAATTTTTGATTTTGTATATCTTTAATTTACATATCGAAGTTTTAAAATTTACTTTCTAAAGAAAAAAAAAACTTTATTAAGTAAATTACTTAGTAAAGAATAAGATTTCTCTTTTAATTATAATTAAAATAGATTGACAAACGTTTCAATTATATAATTACACTTTAAATAATTAAAAAAACAAAACATCAAAAGTTAAGTTTAGTTCATGATTTAAGTAAACGAGAAGGCTTAAAATTGCATTTAAGTATAAGAATTGTGTAGGATTTTGTACAAAATAACCATTTTAAAATTTAAAACTGATAAAGAGCAACCTGTAAATATTCAATTAAGGATATCACTCAATAACCAGTTTTTTTTTTTTCCATTTTGTACGTTCAGAATTAGTAGAGATATTGATTAATGCAAGTACTAAATGGGGGAAAAGTACCTATCGAACATTTTCTGATAAGCCTGACCTTGCAACTTTTCTAAGATAAAGTTTCGTCCAATTTGCTAAGTTAAAGTTTCTAGCAAACTATTCTCCTCCTCCTTAGAGGAAAATTATCTTTCCCGGAAAAAAAAGAAACAACAACAACAAAAAAAAAAACTTTTCTTTTACCTAGACAGACTGGCAGATGGTAGTATAGACAGGATGTTGTACACGTGGACAGTTTCGATCGCTAAGCAACGACGATCTCAGTTCATTATCAGCTTTTATTTGTAGGATAGCGGTATACGGTCGGTGTTGCCAATTTTTGGCGTTCTCACGGACACCATACAGCGAATGGATGGAGTGTCCATCGATCGATTATCTCTTTGCCATGCATCGATGGTTACTGGCACGTGACTCTGACTGACGTACTGACTATAATTTGCTACATCCGGAATGGAGAAAGTTTAAAAGAGTATAGTTTTTTTTATATTTAAACTCGTCTTATATATATATATAAGCAGAAACTTTCCTTTTTTTTTACTCCACAACTCTTCAGACATCTCGTTAAAAACGGAAGTCAATAAAGAAGAAAGAGAAGAAGGTACGATCTCTTTTTTTTTTCTTATCAGATTAGATAACAAACTAAAAAATACTACCTTTCTTTTGATAAAATTAAAGCGAAAACAAAATTTAGAAATTCGATACAAAACGATGTAATACCTGACATCATCGCTGAAGAACGTAAATTAGCTACTTTTCCTATTTTTCATTGTTTACACACAGACGTTCATTTACAATTAAACTGTGTTTGCGTGTGTGGAAAGTATCTATCGCTCAAAATTTTCGATGTCATTGTCTTTTATATTGAACCACCAAACTACCTGTGTCGTGCTACGTCCTTTCGTGACAATTTATTAAAAAAGAAAAAAAAAGTTGGGGTCCTGATTGTCCTACTGTTCTCACAATCAAAATTCTACCGATTTTTACCTTTTTAGTTATCGATCCGCTCTTACCTTTGTGATAGAAATCCACTTTCGATGACGCAAATTGCCCAGCACGTGGCCCATCTCCTATACCAGCACGTGATCTCTGGATAATTGTAGTCCAAAACGTACTCCAGACTCCTATCTATTATCTTCCCGATTCGTATAAATCATTTATACTGGGGCCGTGCCACACGATCTGATATTTTTGACTCTGCCAGGAATTGAATTATTTTGGTTACAAAGACTATTTATAAACCGCATACAAAATTTCTAGCATAGAATTTTTGAAGATTTTTCTTTCTATTTTTTTTCCTGCTTTTATGTAACACACAAAAAAAAATTGCTACAAGTTTGTTAATAGCAGGCGTTGTAAATATTAATTCTTTTATGAAGATATGCAAAGTAGGATCTACCATAAACTGTTTTATAGGTTCTCAGTAAAAAGAATAATAATATTTTTTTCGCGATGTGCCCATTTCTATGTGGAAAACTATTAAAATTTAAACGTAAAAATGTTTTATGTATCCTGGATATAAAATGAATTATCTGCAAATATGCATAGTAATTCTTCCAAGCGATCTTTTTTCTTTTTTCTGTTTAGAAAACAAAGTTTTATAATAGATAAGACCTAGAAAGTGATTCCTCTAGTCGTGTAGTGTATATAAAAACCAAACTTTCATCAATCTCTGTTCTTTTGCTAGTAAACACTAACTAACTAATGTTTCCTTAGGTCGTTCCTGTTTTTATTGTTTACAAACTTACCTCTCTCGTTGACGATGGGTGTCTGCTAAGCGTACATCATCCCCACGTGGCTGATTGCGTGTACCGAAGATCTTTCACGCACGCCAACCCCTGTTTATCCACAGACTACCGTCGACATGGGAACAAAAGCTAGCTTTAACACATTTAACACAACGTTTCTATAAGCCCCGAGAGGCTAGTCTTATCCCTTGGGCGTCGAAAGACATGCGATTGAAGTAATCATAGTTTGGCACATCTATTAAATCACAACTTTTTCGTTTGCATTTAAGCCATCACGCAATTCCTTCACTCCGCTGCACATATTTAGGCTCTCAAACAAAGCGTGCACGAAGTAGCCAACTGTGATTTCCTTGCTTTTTTCACGCATCACCTAGCGTTTTTAATACGCTCCGATGCTTATTTCTACGAATATCGAGCGGCGAAACTATACACCAAAAAAAAAAATTTTCTTAAGCCATAAATTTGTATCGAAGATCCTATGCAATGGAAGCATACTTTGAAACGTTAGCTACTTAAATGACTAACATGCAGTTCTATTATTTAACTAGCCATTTAATCTTTAATTCCAATTGCAGACCTATTCAATAAAATTTAAATAAGTTACCTTCCCAGTTTTAAGCAAACATTACAACATTCATTTAGTGCTTTAGTGAGAAAACAAAACCCCCCTTTTAATACTAAGTTTATTTAAACGTTGGCTCCACCATTAACACAGTTTACTGAAGATATGCAATGGGCAATAATTTGCCATAAATTCAAATTGATGAGCTCTTTTGTGTTTTTTTTTTCTTTTTAATATAACGAAATTGAATTGCCGCAATGTTTTGGATGTTGATTTCAAAGGTAGTTTCTTCATAAATACTTGAATCTTCTCGCCTATCTGAATGTAATATTTTGATTTTAACGTGATGAAATCTTCCAAATACACTTAATTTAAGTACTAATATATCTAAATGAAGTGAGAATGTGTCTTTGGTACTTTAATATACGTTTCAATATAATGAAACCTTGTATCGGTTGTTGAATATCTTCAATAAGATACAAGTGCGCTCGAGTTTTTTTTCTGTCATCGTTTTAATATGATGAAAGCGCGTATCGTAACTGAATTTTCGATTTTAGTAAAGTGAAAGTGTATAATAATAATGTTTATCCGGTTATAATAAAGCGAAAGTAAAATGTATCAATATTTGAAGGTTCGTTTTCGATAAAGTAAAAGCATGTTACGTAGACGAAAGCATGCATTGATAATTGGATATTATTTTCAATAAGGTGAAAGCATGTTTATAAGTAAAATTATATATAATATTTAAATGTGTTTTAATAGATGAAAATGCTTGTTAGTACTTAGAATGTTTCAGTTTTAATAGGACGAAAGTATGTGTATCGTTTGAATTAGATAAAATTATATTCATCAATATTTATACATGAGATAACACAAGCTTCTTAGCAGTTACGTATTCATTTTAATAAAACATTACGTGTTTCAATAAGTATATTGTTGAACACGATAAAATTATGCATAACAGATAGTTTGATTTGATTCAATAGGATGGAACTACACGCATCAATAATTAGGCATTCATTTCACTTACGAAAAGTATGCGCATGAATAGTTGAATATTCTTAAAATTAAGATGCAATTTATGAGTATGAAAAGTAGGATATATGCATTAATAGAATGAAATTATAAATATTAGTAGCTGTATATTCGTTACTCTTTAATGGCATCCAACAAAAGGGAAAGGCAGAAGACTATGCTTATCTAAGTTTCATCAGAGAGACTCGCTGTTACAATTACATTAGTTTACACGTTGATAGTGAAAAGACAAATGGTAAATAAAATTTTGTCTGCTGCAACCACATTACAAGATCTCTACCCTCTTGGAAAAGACTGTTTCACAGTAGCAAGTAATTCCTTCCATGCCACAATCATGTTAGCTTCTTGATTTGACCACAGTATTGTTAGGTTTCCTTTCAGCAACATTCCATAATCTCGTTAACGAAACAGAATGAATCTGAACAATTTAGTTTAGCTGGAAATGTGTGATATAAATTCTAAAAAAAAAGTATACAATTATAAAATTAAATAATCTTTTATTTTATTTTCATAATTTACCAGATATATTTTGATTAAATTGTATAAAAATGGTAATTTATTTATTTTAATTCTTGATTATTATTATTATTTTCTTTATTATTAAAGTATATGTTTGCACGTTGCACGATACTTCATCCTATTTAACTTGATTTATTATTTTATTTATTTAAGTTACCCGGGTTTTTTTCATAATGCTTTATTTTAAAGTGGATATGAGGGAAGAAGAGAGAGAGAGAGAGAGAGTTTTCGGCTTGGCTTATGCATGTTCATGCACAGTCATAAATGTAAATTATATATTTATAGGATAATTGTATAAATGATTTGCACGGTTTTTGTCAAAACTAAATGTATTGCTCACCCAGTGGTAGTTACACTAATGCTTCACTCTTGTTCGCAGTTTTTGATCGTCTCCATGTCCGAGTCTGATTCATCACCCCAAGCTTCACCGGTAGGGCATGATTTTTATTCTTGGGGGTAAGATCATCAACTCCAAGTTTTCTTAACCATGGCCTAAAGTTTAAAATAATAACAATAATAATAATAAATCCTATTTAAGAACTATATAAATATAGCATTAAGTAATATAAGGCCTAATGGGTGAGAAGTATTGGGGATGATGATCAACTTCTAATTTCCTGATTTATTTTGTTGTATGTATTTTTTTTCTATTATTTATTTACGTGTTGTCTTATTTTCTAGTGAATTTTTCGATATTAGAGCCACTAAATGTCTGTTTTTTTTTTTAAATACAGTTTGCACGTAGCCCTCTTATATAAAACGTTCTTTCAGTTATAATATTATATTTTAATAAATAAATAAATTTTTTAAATAAAATTTGTAAGCTTTAGATACATTTTTTTTACAGTTGTAGGAATTTTATTAATGCGTTTAAAATAGAAAAAAAATTAAATTTTTTGGTCTTTCTTGATTTAAATTATTAAAATGTAAATCATTAACATCAAATTCGGCTGAGCTATTAAGCTAAAAAGAAACCTCAACAGATCTTAAATCATATTCAAGTAGCGATAATAGAATTTATTACAGTTTAACTTATTTATAAGAATATTTGCATTTTCAATGCTTCCATCTCCATAATCATAGTGAAAAATTGCATATATATTATTATTATTTTTTATTATTATCATCACGAAGAAGACGACTAAACTTCGTACAGTTCGAAAATTTCTTTACCGACATGACTAAAAATCCATCATACTAAACTGAACAGCTTCATCTGTATTCAAAACTCATTGATAGCAGCAAAACAGTACGCTTTGAATTTAAAATCACTCTCCCAGTTCTAACCAATAAAGAGATCATTGACGACACTCGAAACATTAAATATTATTCTAATTTTGCAAATGACTGCGGTCGAATCAGTATTAAAAAAAATATATCATTAGAGATGATCTAGCAGTCATTTACTTGAAATATTGATGGCCAATATATTGCAACAGGCAGAAAGCCACCATCCTACTTAAAAATTCCTACTTAATGCTCCTAGATACATCAGCTGGGATGACAGTGAATGGTTGGTTGGGAGTATTAAGCTGTATACGTATTGATCCGATAATAGGTTCTATAAGCTTATTTAGTTGTGGGTTTCTGAAAGGAAAACCCCCGGCTCTGGTGTTTTCTGGCTTCCAAGGTTAAGCCACAATAAGAGTGTCCGGGCTTAAGGAATACCAAAATGGACTATTGCTGGATAAGACTCGTCTTGTTTTCTTGATAGTTCTTCGTGTATTTTATATTTATTTTGTTGTGAATCCAATCCTTTGACATGAGTTCGATTTATATACGTTTCTAATCAATCGTTTCTTTTCAGAAAAATGGCGTTTTAAGTTGCTTTTTAGGAGGTTAAGTTGGCAAAAAATTAACTTCTTAAACAAATTTAACTGTTAAATGCCGTAAATTTGTTAATTTTCTTTTTTTTTCTTTTCTTAAACATTTTATCTGTAAGAAGTTGTGACTTGACTAATCTAGCAGGTTCGCTCCGGTGTCTCACTTATAAATATTCATACTTAGTGCTAGGTTTATATATTAAAACAAGTTTCTATTAATATTTAACTAAGGTCATTTTATTTAATATATATCTTACTGATATTAATTATAATATTTATTTTAATTACTTTTCAATTAATTTTTTTTTAGGATGGACGACAATTGACACTAGGTTCTATGAGAGGTGTTCCAATGGTAGCTTCAAGTCCCGTCCGACACGAAAGTCCTATTCAGCTAAATCCCATAGAAGTACAAACCTATCAACCCCCTTGGAAAACATTGGCAGAATACGCCATTCAACCAGACATAGATCCTAGCGCGCCTCATTTTCAACAGCTTGTTAGTCAAGTGAGTTAATTAATTAATATTAAATATTTATTTTTTATCACCACACTACCACCACCACCACCACCACAACAACAACAGAGAAATAATTTTCTTCGCTTTTATCAACTTTATTTTTAATATATATTTTCTTACATAAAATGGAAAAGTTTTTAAGCGTTAAGTTAGTTCAGAATCCAATTTTAAAATAGGCCATTCTGTAACGAGTTTCATCTCTTTGATTCTCGAAACTTTTCAACAGGAAGTTATTATCTCAAGTACATTCATGTGAGTGTGACTTCGAGTGATTTCCCTTCGAAGTTCCTGCCAATGACTTCCTCTTGTACGCATTTCCTTTTCGGAAGTTACTTTTCTTTTCTAGTTCCATTTTCTAGAAGTTAAAAATAGTATAATGGTTCGGTCATATATTATAGAAAATAAAAATATAAATTTTATTTTTTTTAGGGTGTTAAAACTATTCAAAAATATCACTTTAATATCATAGCATGAGTCGAGTTGGAGATACGTAAAACTGATTATAATGCGATGTATCATCCTGTAAATTTTAATGCAGATGAGGAATATTTAACAAGCCGTCAGTCGTAGATAATTTCGATACCATGAGATGTTACTTGGGAAAAATCGCGATACGAAACTGGTTCGTGACAATTTTTCATATCAACCGACACATTTCAGAGGATGGACCAAAACAAACATCTCTAAACAAGTCGAATGGCGTCAGAAGGCCTAGCCACGTCGTCCACTGGATAGGGAGGTCAGAGAGGCGCCCTTCCAAATGACTTTATTGCTACCGATGATTGACCCCAGGGTGCAGATCAAAAGTTTTTGGTCCGTCTCCTCGCACGTCGATGGTCAGTCCTCTTGGGTGGGATGATTTGACCTTCTAGGCTTTAGTGTCGATCGTTTAAGTCAAATGATGTTTATCATCTATTCGAAGAAAACCTTCAGAAGAGACAAGAATTTAGGTGACGCAATGTCCGAAATATATATATATATATATTTTCTTACTTTTTTTTAAGTTTGACTCGAGTGTTAATGTCACTCTGACACTGTTACAGAGTATCTAAGATCAACACTCGCTTCTAAAGGATTGGGTTTCATAAGATTTTTCCGACTTCATTGGTTACTTCTATATTTAGATAGTCTTATAAAACTAACCCCTCGCAACTTGTAGCTATATCATTTCATCCCCGTGATAAAAATAGAAACTAAACAAGGTTTTTTCACGTCCTTTTTTTTACGTTTCGTAGACTTAAGTTGGTAATATAAAGTATCAAATTTTAATAACAAAAAAAAAGAAAGAAACATTTTACTTTTATAATGTGTTATGACACGAACTGAAACGTTCGAATTATATCTAAAAAAATAACTTTTGTTACTTAATCTGATCGTAATAATTGTCAAAATTTTAGCTTTGTGTTCACAATGGCACATGTTATGCAACTACTTGCCCTGTTTTTGTCGGTGGCTGGAACTTGCTTTAGGCAATGTTTACCTAACACTATGTCATCAAAACTTGTCGCTCATCAAATAAGATTTCATCTTCTCCGGCACAAAGCCACACCGGTGGGAATAAGTCACTGGACCTGACGTCATGTCACGTGTCACATATGACAGGATGACGTCAGAAAAGTCAAAGTGGATTCGGCCCCCTACCAATGTTTTCATTCGAAGAAGTGGGCCGGGTTGGTCTTTTGTTCTGATTCGTTTCCCAAGTTTTTACTATTGAGGAGGTCTCTAGTCCTTACAAAAAGAGAGAGAGAGAGCGAGAAAAAATATTAAAAGTGTCTCATCTTTTGTTAAGGATTTAAGATTTTTATTGTTGTTTCAACAGATATCTGTTATATTCGTTCTACAGGACTTAGAAAATCGTGATATATCACTGGTTTCGTTTCTGTCTTCCTTCTCTAGTGGTTTATCAGTTCTCATTTATCATACCCAATGTCTAGACGTTGGATACCACTTGGGAATTTTAAGTTTAAACCGTCTACATTTGAACTTAAGCAAAGATTAGATATTTCCCAATTGATATACAGCAACAACAACCAACCGATCAACCGATTTCTTAGTTTAATGCTCAGAACCAGAAGGGACATAGATAAAAAAAATCGAACTTATTATGTTCTTCCATCCATTTAATATTTATGCTCGATTCCATTTTGTAATTTGTTAATAGCAGTATCGGAAAACAAATTCGTTTATCATTCATAACCTCGTGTGGACAAATCCCTCGACAATGTGACACTTTCTCTAACATAGATCAAATATTTCTTAAATCTGACTGCCGGTAGTACAGAGATAATCATTGGTTGAGGGGACACTTGTCAACATATGGCGTCATCAACAGACGTTCTCCATGTGACATGGGGATCCTGCTATGTTGACTTAATAAAAGCAATTATATTGACCAAATAGCGGATCTTTTCATCTCTTGTGACGATCATCGGTTTGCCTGGGGTTATGTCAAGTTCTGAAAAGTTGATCTATTCCGAATTCACTCAAACGTTCACTTGTATGTAAATTGCGAAATCACAAGTATACACTTTCTCTCCCACCCCATACTAACTTTTTACGAATTTTTTTTCATTTTGTCCTTCGTTATAAAATACTTCGCTCATATTGATCGATATTCCAAGAATTTGAAGACTTAAGAAAAAGTTTTAGTTTCAATTAGCAGTTAAAACTTGTATATGTAAGGATTTAGAAAACTGTTCAGATCTTCAAAGCTTAGTTTAAGGACACAATACTATAGAGACTTGTAACTGAGTTGTAGTTGATACTGTAGTGTATTTAAAATGAATGTTTATACCTCGAAACCTTTCAATTCAGTAGAATTTGGTATATAGAAATTCATAATTCATAACAATCTGGATACTCGTATCATGGATCATTACAATAAGTCAGGAATTCGACTAAACATATGTGCAATTCTATAAACAGAAATTATTGACTGTATGTCAGATGATGATTTAATCCCATTATAGTCTCAGTTGCCATTCTTTATTGGAAGTGGACCTAACCAGCAACTGTCCACAGTGACAGGAAAAGAGAATCGTGTCCGGTCACGGAACCCTTCCCAGGGATGCAACAAAGGGTCAGAAGGATTCGTCATTTCCTGCCGTCCAGAAGTTCGTTCCTATTGTACTAATCTCAGATCCTAATCCATTCTAACTACAACACGAATATATCCACCATTACCCTTAAATAATTAGCTTAGAGTAATAACTTATTATATGGCTCAATCGATGTTCGTCTTAATTTTACATTAACCTTTATTGGTGTTAACAACCTTTTTAAATAAAACTAGTTTGTTGACAGAGAATTTACTGGATATTCATAATTTAAGTATTGCGATTAACAGAAAAACGAGCATTCAAAATTAACAAGATTGGCTCAAAGCTAGGATGCTTCTTGTTTTGGTTTGTAAATTAATATTTCCGGAGAGTTGATTGATTTATTTATTTAAATAATTGTGTGTGTATATTTAGAAAGTAGGGTTTATATTTTCCGTGTTTTAAGGGTGTTTTTTTTATATTTTATATAAGGAATTCAGTCGGTATCTTTTGCGCTGACAGCGATGGTAGTTGAAGGAACAAGCGGCCATAAAGATTCTATATTAGTTAACAAATTCACGAAAGCAGATGGGGAGAAAGATCAACACCTTTGATTCGTAAAGCACGTTTGAAATAAAACATGAAAGGAGATAATTTCATCTCCGCCAAACATCCACTAATAATATTTGGGAGGAAAAAGTATCTCCGTTTGGAAGATTAAACGCGAATCTTGGCTGATGTAAGACAGAAGAAAGAAAAACAGCCAAACTGCGTGAGTCTGCCCGCGGCGTCAGATAAGGCCATGGCACAGTCTGATCGAGTCTGTAGCCGGCTCCACCTTCATCGATTGCCCTTTGAAAGAACCCAGAGCCGTCGGTAGTTGGAAGCTCTCCGTGCTTCCCACGCTGATGTCATCCTCTACACTGTCCAGGCAGCGGTTCCAATATACGCCCATCTACACAAAAAAAAAAAAAAAAAAAATTTTTTTCTTCCGCCTCCAGTCAAAGTCTGCCAAAAATATTTGCAAAGAGGGCGGAACAATTTCGTACCTTCTCTTTGATGCCTGTCTGAGATCGGTCAAGACAAAAAGATTCATCTACAAATGGACTGCATTCGCAGGTAGATTATAAAAAATTCCATTCTGTTGCTATAAGTGTCAGAATAGGCCTATCTTAATGTTTAACTTTACTCTAGCACCTCGCTAGATTAAGTGCCATTTTGTATTTTGTAGACAATTTATTAGTTCTGTACTAAGAGCACTTCAAAGACAAAAAAAAAATCAAAACAAAAAAAAATTTGTTCTTAAAACGAAAGGAACTTCCAGTTGATTGTTGTTTCTGTTTCTGCAGATGCACGGATATGGCGAACCAGATCCAACTCAGCACGTACCGGCATCGGTTCCACCACAGATTCCCGCATACCTGGCAGGAGCTGATGATCCAATGCATCAACCTCCAAGTAACTTGTCCTCTCATTTGCCCGGAACACCTTCGGAATTATCAAGTCCAACGAGTGAATGATGCCAGCCAAAGTGCCGGTCGCATTCGAGACCGGTTCATCGACGTCGCCATTCAACCGTTCGCCAATCTACATGATTAAAGAACCAGACGATGAACAAAAGTCTGTGATTGACTGATTCGTGCCAATTATGAATTTGTCTTCTCACTTCAGGAATCGACCAAAAACAAAGAAAAGAAAAAAAGAACAAAAAACAAAAGAAAAAAAAATTTAAGAGTTAAAGTAGGAGGGTGTGGATTTCTACCAAGAACAAGAATGAAGAATTATGAATTGGATGCGTGAATGTGTGGTGCCTGATTGTATGTGAAATTTTCCTTTTAATTTTTTTTTGTTTGTTTATTTGTTTTTCCATTGACGTTTCGCAAAGAATGCTCAACATCAACAAAAGTCCGAATCGAACAAAATCTTTGCAGTTATCTATTTAAACTGTTCACCATTATAGGGAAAAACAAAGAAAGGGGAAAGAAAGAAAGAAAAAAATAACCCGAAATGTAAGTGACAAGTGTGGAACTTTTTAGCTGTGTGTTGAGTAATCATATCTAGTTGTGTCACCTGTGAATCTAATGTGTCATTATGGTGAAATAGTTCTCAAGTCAAACGTAAGAGAGGCGACCAGGTGTCGTGCCTGTCACCTGTATATAGAAAATGGACCAGAATGGACCTACCTCCCTGCGGCACTTTCAGCACCGCTCCAATACATGTCCTTACCCATAGACTGTCACTTGTTAGCCCTCGTCTCACAAATGACGTATATCTGACCTTGTACATCCAACAAGTAGATTCTATTAAAGTTTAGTAAAATATATATTACGATATTGTGAATTCTTGAAAAAAATTTCGCGTTTTTTTTTTAAAGAAAACTTCTAGATTTTTATAAAATATTTTAAGAGTTTAATTAAGAACACACAAAAGAATGGGATTTTTATAAGAAATTCCGGACTGAAAAAAAAAATTAAGAAGATAGAAGAGAAATTTTGTATTTTTTTTTATTAAAAATTCACGAGTCAAAATTTTCAAATTATTCGAAAAATATACATAAAAATTTAAATATCATTTTAATTTTTTTTTATTTTTTAAGATTTAATCTTACTTTAAAAGATTTAAATGGCCAAATTTGAATTTAATACACCTGAAAGGTAAACCCCAAACACAGATTTTTCTTTAGCAATAAGGTCACTAATCCAAAGTTGTTTGTCAAATTTTACGACTTTATATATGGTTTCTATAGAAGAATAAGACAATAGTTTATTGTGTTTGTTAATTACTCGACATTCTATTAAATCATTCCAGTACATTAAAAGATATCACAAAGTTTAAAGGAGAAGAAGGGGGAAAAATGATAGCAACAATAGAATTGAAGATATAAACATAGGCCTACTTTAAATTTCATTCGTGAACTTCTCAAAGTACGATATACAAAGAAGAAAAAAACATAACCATAATTAATTATCGATGCCTCGTGTAGGTCAATAAACTATCGATTATGAGAATCGTAGAAAAGTTTGATAAATAGTCAATGACAAAAGTGCAGCGTGGGCATTATCATAATGATCATATCAAGTATTCTATAGAACTATTGTAATGTTTCGTATATCATTATTCATGGCAAACAGCCTTAACGCCTTCTTCAAAGAATATCGAAAGAAAAACCATTAGTATCTACTGCATACAGCACATTGCAAGTTGGCTCCATTCCAGTAACAATCTGGCTTTGCTACACATTTTTGTCAGGACCAGATTCTAATTTAAAAAAATGTATTTATACATATTTCCGTTTCCGAGATTAATAAATGATAAAAATCATGATGGCGTTTATTAAATAAATAGATTTTTTATTAAGTTGACAGCCGATGCAACGTTGTCATTCACCCGTTTATTTGCATATGTTACCATTGCACAATGGATAATAAGGGTATACGCAGTCGGCCATATTGTAAACAGGTTTATAACGTGATTTACTGAGCTATTTAATGACGGTTAGATATTTAGAAAAGGGCTGTGCGTGTCTGACTTGCTAGCTAACTGACTGTCTGGGTAAGTCCAGGTGGTAAGGGCGAGTGGCGTGGGAAGCAATGGCATACCACGGCTCTATTAGAAGCTCAGATTGAATTAGATTGTCAGTACGTCAGATGGTACTCTTCTCACGTATATCCGTGTTGTGTTGTTCGTGCTATAGTTCTGTACTGATTGAATGTATTAGGTTTGCAAAGTGTACCGTAGATAGATTATACAACACTCGATTGTAAAAAAAGGCAAATCATCGTAAGAACTCAATTTAATCCATCATAGGAGAATTTCATCGTTAATGGGCGCTTATATAAGAACGTAAAGACCCTCCTAAGTTAGAAAGTAAGACGTAGGTATAAAATATGGTCCTATCCTGAAATAAATGTATTTTTAACACAGAATTAACTTAAGTACCCGAAGATAACGGAAGTTGATGATAAACAACAATAAGTGACAATGTTCCGTTGAAATGATGTCAAAGAATGTTTCTCATTGTGAAAAGAAGACAAAGATGTCTTGGTCAGTCTGCAGGTGGTCCTAACGCGTCCTTAAACAGGTGCTAGTGTCAGGGGCTATGTCCAAGCACGTGGGAGGTCACTTGATGTCAGGTCTTGTCGCCTGCAGCTCAGCTTTTGTAGTAGCCAGTTACGGACAATTGTTGTACTTGACCTGGCTGGACCAAGTGTACCGAAGAGGGCTGAAAATGGGCGATTTATAGAACTATTCTTTGTTCACCTATTTCACGCTCTTTGTATGCATTGTCAGGTGCTCTCTATTCGCCCTTCTGTTCTGCGAAACAAATTTACCAAATATTCTCTCACTGTGTAAAGTGACTGCTGCCAAATGATGACGAGCTTACCAACACAAAGGAAGTTTTGCTAGAGGAAAAACATCAATTTTTACAAAAATAAATGTTAAAGTCGTGTTTGGCTTTGTTACCAGTCAACTCATCATCGGAACGTCGACAGATTTCAGACACAAAATGGCATCGATGTGGACGTAAAATACATTAAATTTTGCCCATTTTACAAGCGAAAATTCTTACATAAAGCTGAAAATGGAAGAGAAATAAAAGTAAAAATGGCTATCAACCAATTCGTACAGATCATAAATCATCGTCATTGCCATTAATACAATATTAAACTTAAGCAGAGATTGGGAAAATATACAGATTTTTAAGTCACGTAGAGCCAAAGACCTTGGAATAGAAAAATATTTTATTGCTATAGGCCTTTTGTTTTCTCACGGTAAACATTTTCAGAATAACACAAGCGAATAAACAGAATTCAATCGATATTAATGTTATATGTACAGCGTTAGCTATGATGAATATCTAAACATGCCAAGATTTTAATAATATAACGACCGAGACCGACTTATAACAGAAATTACTTCACTGTATTTTTATATTTTTACTGTAATAAAATTAAATTCAAAAATATTCAAAATTTTGATTTTTCCCCAACCCACCCCCATCTGTTTTGTGTGCGTATATAATTTTATTTAGTCACGTGTTTACGTCTATCGTGGTGTGTCTAATGCCCACAACAGAACACATCTGCTGGTGCTCGTCTGACGCTGTTAGGAACCGCCCCATTCGTTCTATCGACCAATAGCGAAGACGAGGACGAAGGAAGGCGTTACTATCAGCTAACCAAGGTTGCAAGAAAGTTGTGTGATGGTTCATTCTATAAAAGCAGAAGCTATGTGAGGTGGAGTTAGATGCTGGCAGCTGGGCTAACCTTGAGAGCCGCTCATAAATCTTTCATAAATTCCCAGCGAAGATAGATAGCAACGAACTGTGCCTCAACAGAATGGTTTTTAATCAACAGAACACAGTTCCCTTTATAAGTGATTACAGCGGCTAGTTGAAATTTTTGTTGTTACCCCTGTGCGAAAGTATAGATAATAAAAACAGATATTAAATGTTCGCACTTAGTTTTGCTAAGAACTTAGCGTAGGATTTTTTTTTCCATTCTCTTTCCTTACTTTTAAAACTTATAATTCATCTTATATCACTTCTAAATTTTCTAATTATAAAGTTTAGTATTAAATTAATAAATTTTTCATATTTTAATCTTGTTTATTACGTTTTAAACTATATTTTTTTAAGTTTTATATCACACATTCGAGGAGGGATTATGCAGTGATATCTAAAGAATTTAACAGAATATGAGCTAAATTAATATAATTATCTTGTCGATATACATGTCTATATTTTTTTAAACTTAAATCTAAACTTTCTACATATAAAAAAGTGAGTGTATATATATATAAAATTTCGATCGCAAATAGTTTTTCCCCCCATGGTTTAATTCCGAGTTAACTAAAAGGTCATTTAGTTTGCGTGCACATAGGTACAATCAAAAAACGAATAGTTTCCATTAAAACTAGAATATTTTCAATATAATTTAGTCACACAATGTGACATTTTGTCTCGTATATTTTGTGTTGCAATTTTGACACATTGAGTGTTAGTATATAGGCGTGCCGTTGCTATAGCAGCGCATACCCTAAAAAAAGAACAGTTATTAGTGGATTACTAACTGAAACTAGGGTGTTACCTTTGAGTTATAGAAAAATTCCAACTAGCGACAAAAGTTATACACATTCGATTCATATTTTTGTATAATCGATAATGTTTATAACATATCATTCTACCATTTTTATTATTTATTTATTTTATTTTTTTATACTTTAATGATATTTAATTTTCTTAAATTTTCTTCCATATTTCTTGTGTATTTTTACTTATTTATCTATATTTATATACGTATACTGTTGAGATAAAATTGTTATTTGAAGTATTGAAATGATTGATGATGTTTATGTGTGAAAATACTGCATAAATCTAAATTCGTGCGTTATAGATTGCGTGTTTATCAGTTTTGTTATTTTATAGATTCTTTACACGGAAAATTTTATGAATTTTGAATTTTTCTAGTCGTAAGAATCTCTCCTATTCCACGTTTCTAGTTAGAAGGATGCGCTTTTCTTGCATTCTCTGCGCTTCTTAACGGTCTCTACAATTACTGAAATAGTTTGAAAAAGTTAATAATAGCAAAGATTTAACCGATTTTCTTATTTACATCTATAAATTTACATTGATTACGTGAAGTTTTAAAATTTACTAGTTTAACTTTATGGAAGAATCTTCGCTTGTCTTTGACAAAATCACAGATTAAATTGACTCAGAATTGTTAAGTTGAATGTAATTTAATAATTTATTATACAAATTATCTATTTTTGTTAGCTTATAATCACGAAGCATAAGCCAAAAAGCCTATACAGATTTTGATTTATTTTTACAAATTTTATAAGGGAAATATCACAGAATCTTTATCTCTTTAGAAAATTAATATATTATATTAAATAGTAATACAATTATTCTTACATTATTGTAAGGTTTAGATGCCTAGAGACCCGTTTTATAAGGCCTGCTATAGATAGTGAAGGCCTATGTAATATCTAAACGAATTCAAACGGATAGAATATTGTTGCTTATTCTATGTTTACAGTATATTCTTGGCATCGTTTAATATTATTTTAGCAATAATTTATAAAAGTTTATCACCTATTTTCTATAGATCTATAAGTTAACTTTCGTTAAAATCATATTAAATCTATAGACATTAGCGACAATTCTATTGACTATCTTAATAAATTTTAACGAAAAAACTTATTAAAATTAATTTTAATTATCGATTTTTTAATCTAATTATACAACAACTTCATCAAGCTCCTTATAAGCTCATAAAATCCTTACAAATTTATCGATTAATACAATTCTCACTACATTGGGAGGAAAAAGTATCTCCG